GGGGGGGGGGGGGGGGGGGGGGGGGGGGGTGCATCACGTATTTGAATCCACGTGCCCTCTTGGTTGGAGGTGTAAACCACAACTCACCATCGGCTGTTGTTGGTAGTGGCGATGCGGGAACCCCCGGCCCCATTCATGGAGAAAGATTTTGGGAACATATTTATTTAGACATCTGTCAAACTCGAATCCCGTCTCCCGCATCCGATTTTGGCGAAATTTTGGCGGTTTACCTTCCCGTTCCGGTTGAGTGATAGATGCGGGAATCCCCAAGGTGGTTTCAAACTGGCCCTCCCGCCTTTTTACGGATTTTTCACGGACGAAAATGCCAACCGTCGTCGTCCCGCTCTTTGCTACTTTTTCTGGTGCACAAACAAACGCGAGAACGCCCGGCGACCACTCAAGGCTACTTCGTACTCGCATGCATGCCCAGAAAGAAGCTGCTCTGCTGCTATAGTATTACAAGATCTTGCCTGGAGCGCTTATTACGAAGATAGATCTTCACAACACAAAAACATGACAGCGCAAGCGCACGCGCCGTTGTCTCGTTCGCGTTGCTGGTTGGGTAAAAAGAAACACAGATACAATTCTGCTGCTGCTGCGTGTAACGACTACCAACGAGTGTGAGAAAAGTACATGGTGACCCATCCATATGCTACATATGCATAGGCTGTCCACCATGACTCCGTCGTGAGGTTGTGGGCACCTCAATACCTTATAGCTACTGCTGCAGGCGATTAGAGCCAAAGAGTGTGCTTATAATCTTCGACAACATCGTACCCCATTCTCTGCACCGAAGGCGCTATGCTTTCCTCCGGCAACCCCCACGGGGTGCGTCGCGCCGATGTATGCAAGAATGGAGGATGGATGGATGATCCCTTGTCTCCCGGTCGAGATTGTGCGCGACGAATCGACCCTTCGGCCGCCATGCATCGCCAAAAAGACAGAAGAATGACAGCGTTGATGTTCTGTTCTTCCTTCACCGTCCCGTGCCCCGTCAAAAAATGCCGCCAAGAATCATTCAACCAGCCCCAACGCAGACAGTACGTGTACCACCGGCATCGCCCTCGTTGTTCTACTATATATCTCAATCTGACGTGCAAGCCCTTCACCTCGACGGCAAAGAACGGAATGCGAAAAAAAAAAAAAACGGACAGGATACGAAACCTACACATGGAACATGCTCGCGCCCAAGGCGTGATACATACAACGGACTTCCGACCTCGGCATCCCCTTGATCGTACTCCGTCGCGGCATCTCATGATTCATTATCAGAAGCACCTCCCGCTGTGGCTCCAAGACAAGCGAACACCCGAAAGAGTACGGCAGAGCAGCCACATAGAACCCCACCTTCTTCCCGTCCGACTACAGCTGCACGCGCCAACGCTTAAGAAAAGAAGTTGATCATTTAGAACAGGACGAAAGGTTGATGAACCCAAGGGTAAAGCAAAATGGGAGGTGCTTTGCGCGTACAACACCACCGTTTCGATGCTGATATGACGCATGAACGCGTGAGGGGCGAAAGGGGGTCGATCATTTCGTCCACGTCGCCCTCACCAAACTACGTCTTCAGCTTCTTCGCAAGCATCGATAGCAGCCCCTCTTCCACCACGGAGGGGGGGGTCACCAGGCCCTTGTCTCCACCGCGGTGCCCCCTCCCCCTCCCCTTCGACGGCTTGCTACCAGCACCTCCGGCAAGGGTATTGTCAAAAGGCGCCCCACCCATTCGGCTCTTTTGCTGCTGCTGGAGCGGGGCGGGTTTGACCAGCGTGCTCATGAAGGCCTGGTACATGTCGGGGACTGGGGCGAGGTTGATAGTGGACGGGTCGAGGATGTCGGAAACTCGCTGCCCGGAGCGGAGCAGGGCCTCTGTGATCCCGCCAAAACAAACGCACACGCGTGTGGCAGGGGGGGGGGGGGGACATGAAAAAAGCAGGTCAAGCGGAAAAAAGGAAATGAACTTCTCTGGAGACTCCCACACGGCCGTTGGAGGGGGGGGGGGGGGGGGGGGGCTGGAGGCACGTCCGCCGCGAGACGAACTAAGAGAAAAGGGGGTGT